TAATGCATTTTAATCATTGTTCATTTGTATATATATATATATATATATATATATATATATATATATTAAGCATGATGTAGTGATGTAGAATAAGCAGTGGAATGTCATGGTTTTGTGGTTTTTGGTTTTCATATTCCACATCATAACATCATGTAGTGCACTGGGAGTTTAACTGTTAATGCTCCAATTCCAGGTAGCCGTCCCTGTACATAACAGAAGTCATGGGATCTGGCCCTTCCAGGTTGGATAGTCTCTTACTGCCTTGCAGTGGGTACTGGAGGGTGGTTTTCTAGTTGTTCCAAGCTTTTCAGGTTTGACTCGGTCTCAGGAACTCTCTCTCTCCTATCTTATTTGATTTATTAGTCTCAATTTCAATTAGATTGTATTATGTTGTGTTATCTTGCATTCCGATATCATAGTAAAATAAGTTTTCCTCCATAAATCGTTGCCGCTGTTTTTTTTCCTTCCTTGAGCCCAACTCCCATCTCCGTATCCCTTTTCCCTCTCCTTTCCCATTCTGTGGGGCTGGGGGGGGGCTCAGGGGCCTACTGCCCCCCATCACAGGCATAGATTGATCTAGTTAACTCCAAGACAATCATAAGTACATATGTACATGTATAGGAATATGTATAATGGAAGGAGACTGTGGAAAAGGACTTTAAACAGCCAGTTTCTTTTAGAGAATATCTGCTGAATTCACACTGAATAATAAGGATACCTACCATTATTACTGAAATTCATCAGTTATACAGTGACCCAATTTAGAATTCAATTCTTGCATCAGTAACATGCAAGATAAAATGTCACATCAGAACTTAGTGATAATTTTAATATTTCTGTAAGATTTTCCTTAGTTCTCTTTACCAGACGTGAAAATCAGATTATTGGCATTGCTCAAGTGGAGTAGTCTATCACCTTGTTTTCTAAGCCAGTCAGTCACTGACATCCTCATTTTAATTTTTCCCATAACCATCAATAACTTACCATATTTTTCACCACAACTGATTTTAATAATGGTAGACCCAGTATTTCCATCTTTATACACGTAAGACTCACCCAAATTTCTCAAGTAATGTCTGATATACAGAGTTCTATGGAAAAAAAAAGAAACAAACAAAAAACAAACAAACAAAAAAAACCACAAACATTCCTGTGAGGAACAGCTATTTCAAAGTGAAACAACAAAATAATTTTGAGCAACTAGTGTATGTGTTTTCTATGTAGTGTCTATTCCTTCACACCAATTCAGGCAGACCCCAAGCTGAACATCAGCAAACAATTTGCCCTTGTGGCAAGAGAAGCCATCAGCCTCTTGGACTGCCTTAGGCAAAGTATTACCAGTAAACCTAGGGATGTAGTCCTTCCCTTCTGCTCAGCCCTGGTGAGACACATCTGGCATGCTGCAACCAGCATTGAGCTGCTAATACAAGAGAGATATGGATGTAATGGATGGAGTCCTGCAAAGGGCTATGAAGATTGATAAGGGCTTGTCCCATCTGCTATACTAAGATAGGCCAAGAGAAGTGGGAATGTTTGGCGGAATCATCGACCCTGGAGGTGTTCAATCACTCTCAGGATGGGAAAAGGTGCTGTTATCTGATGGATTTGGGTAGGAGTGGTGTGACAACTCCACTAGGCATTGTTGCTGCCTACTCTCTGCCAGCTTAACTTGTCTGTCATCTCTTGTAAGTCAGACAACAGTAATTTTCTGCAACAAAATGAACTTTTTTAGATAATTCAGGATCTGCCTCACTGAAAGCAGCAGGAAGCAAACACTTCTCCAGGTAGTGTAGAAATCAGCTTGCAGACACTGAATATATCTGCTGTGTGTGTACTCCATCTGTAACTTTATCAGAGCACCTACACAACAGACCCAAGGCACAGGAGCAGGAAATAATGTTTTTGTTGCTAATGGAAACATTCTTTTTTTTTCTCCACTGAAGTGCTGCAGTCCAGTGCTTCAGTCTACAACAATATTCATCTCAGGTCTAAATAACACCCAATCAAATTCATAATAATAGAAAAAAAAACACTCCTTTGGTATAGCTGACATCTATCCAGTGCACACTCTCTTCCACTCCAAACTGGACTTCTACATAGTAACAAGGGAACACAGCTTGGCTCTATCTACCAGCACCATCTGCTGTTACCTTGGAGAAGGTATGTTATAGCAGATGATAGAAATTCTGAGTTGTAGATCTGTCATGACACTAACAAAACCTCTGTTATGCAGTCATATCTATAGACACAGCTCTTTATGTGCAATCCTGAAGATCTTTTGTGAAAAATCACATTAATCAAATCACAGAATATTTTGAGTTGAAAGGGACCTTTAAAGGCCATCTAATCTAACTCCCCTGCAGTGGACAGGAACACCTACAGCTCCATCAGGTACTCAGAGCCTTGTCCACCATGACGTTGGAAGTCTCCAGGGATGTCTTCACCACCTCTTTGGGCAACCTGTTTCAACTCCCATTTAGGCTGCTAGAATTTCAGAATGTAAAGCAGGAACTGAACTGGCAGTGAATGAAGAAAAAATCATTCTTTATTGTTCACAAATAGTAAACAATAGTAAAAAATACTAAAACATAGTGTTTTAGTATTTTAAAATTTTTTATAAAAGTTAATAATACAACAAAACCAAAAAAAAAAAAAAAAAAAAAGTTTCTTGCTTGTCTTAACATTAATTGCAGGGTTGGTCAGAATTCAATGAAAATTATTCATGTCACAATTTTTTAACTGAGATTAACTGATCTTTCACTACTGTTAACTAACAAGACTTTCAAGGAATGGTACAACATAAATTAGAAAAGGGAGCTCTTAATGTTTGCTGAGAAACGAGTATATGTTTGTAATCCTTTTTTACCCTCTGACAGTGATACATGTTTTCTTAGGGACAAATCCCTGCCATTTTCAATTAGCAAGCTAAGAATTTAAAAGCTTATTGTTAATTATTATAAGGAAATGGGGGGAGATATCTCCGCTAAAGATAGAAAATCAGAAACAATATCCATATTAAAGCACTAAACAAGGCATGATGCTCTGAGAATGTTGTAGTAGCAGGATACGTTTGATGGTTTTGCTTTGGGCCAACTAAGAGCTTCCCAGGGAAAGTCCAGGCATGGTTAAGGGAGAGTAGATTGACCAGGTAGCACTTCCAGAATATATTTCCTATGAAGCAATCTCTTTCAGGAGATGCAAGACAAAAGCTGTGCCACGCAGTTGGGTAGGTTTCAGGGCTAGGAAACAGCCCCTGCTCTGCTTTATTTACTTGTCTAGGAATAGATTTAGGAATCAGAGAAATCAATGAATCGATTAAAAAAAAAAAAAAAAAAAAAAAAAAAAAAAAAGAGCAAGGGAAAAAAGATATCTTTATAATAACTGGCACTCTAGGTTTTGACTTCATTTTCTTTTTTCAATTCCACCTTAGATCTGACCAGTCTTGTGACGCGTCATTGCATTACATTTCTTTATTTTAAATACTCCTCACTCCATTGCTGCATGCAAAACAACCAGCTAAAGTCCTGTGCTGAATTTTGTTTATGAGAATTGTTCCCTTTACTGCCATGTGGTTGCATCCCACGAGTGAAGTTAGGCAAGTGCTGAAGCATTTATGGAAAACTTAATTGACTACATAGGAATATGGGGAAATCAACTTCATCGAGAGCACTTCCAAAACATGTAAAACATGTAGAATAATAAAACTGGAAACCTCCAGATAATTTTTTTCTAGTTTCCCTGGAAAGGCTTACAACAGAAGAAGAGAGTTAAACAAAATTGCTATGTTTAAATTTACATTCCTTTAAAAGCAGAATTATTTTCAGGTCATATGAAAAATATTTCTATGAGGTCCTGCACAGATTGTTTTTCCTACACTCCTCCCACTCCCTCCAAAAAAAATAAGAAAAAAATCCAAACCTTACAACTGAGGCAAAAAAAAAAATGGGCAAATGACAAATCACAAAGAGAAACTGTGAAAGAGAAGAACCTTGATCTCTTGGAAAGCCAGGAAGCAAGGAAGAATTGCATCTTTCAAAACCAGTAAAAGAACATCTAGGAAGATACGATGTTATCCATAGATGTTGGACGTACCTCACACAAATATTATGAAATAGAGCTGAGATCATGGCAGGCATTAGACTCACTGTCATCTCCCACATGACACTGTCACCAAAGGTTGGATGAGATCTTGAGCTATCTGAACATGTTAATTTGGAGCATATGCTATTGGAGCTATAAGTCTGAAGCAACTCTGACCACTATAAGAATAGTGATAGATATCAGAGAGCTTTTGAAATACTAGAAAGGTCTTAAAGAACCACAGTAGTGAACACTGAATTTTAGGATGGATGTTGCAGAAGGCAATTGAGGAGACCACTTCAGTTAGTTTAATATTGAAAAACAGGGAGAGAACTTTCTTAATCACAGTCTGTGAAAGTTTGGAATTCTAAATTACTGGCATTTCAAAAGCTAATTGAAAGAGACTTGTTATTGTCTACTGATTGTATTCGTTTTACCACATTTACTTGATTGATTTATTTTTGTCTCAGTGCACAACGTATTATCAAGAACGAAAAAGACATTTTGCCTTGCTCTGAAGTAACAGAATGAGCATGACCAGTTACTTTGAGATGGGTCACAGCTTGGGGCAAAGCCTTGATCCAGGGTTAAAACTTCCTTCAGGTTTGCCATTGAATTTCTATCTGAATGAGGCTGGCATGTTGTTTTTCTACTATTTCTTTTACAGCACAAGATCCAGCCTATTTCTGAAGTTCCGTGTACTAGTTTGATATAAATCTTTTGCATTGCTGAAGGATCACTGATGATCCTGACTTTCTTGCTGTCTTACTCCGATCATAGGCTCCAAGATTTACAGAAAGCGCAGGTATTATTTAATGTGTTCTGTGGATTTTCTGTTACACTGCTTCCAGTGACCATGATGACCTGAATTTGCTGATCCACAAATCATTTCCTGGCCTATTTCTTCTTCTGAAGTACATATGACAACAAGTAGTTGAACAAAAAATAATACTTCAGTAGCAAAAATAGAAGGAAAACAATTTCAAATTAGGATGCAGATTAATTTATTTGAATGAGAATATTTAACTTAGTAGAACAGCCTTGATTTTGGGCAAGACAAAAAGCACTTTTTTGTTTATTCTTTCACATTCTTATACAAACGGTCAACTTCAAGGCACAAGCAAAATTCACATTTTATAAGTCCTAGGCAGACAAAGATAGCTAAAGAGCTTCACTCTTTACCACATAGGGATTACTACGTCCTGGACAACCTACCTGGCAGCTACTTCTGTAGAACACAAGCACATTGCAGTAGCAGCTGTTTTCCCAAACCCAACCTAATTCCAGTTTCTTAGCTTTGGTATTTCTACATTAGAATTTTACTGTTATACCACATATATTCTCTTGTATGGAGATAAATTTTGGTGATTATTTTATAACAGAATTTCTGAATAATTACTGTTTTGTACTAAGTTAATGGCCAAGCCAAATATTAAGCACCATCTATTACTACCTCAGACTATTACTCTCTTATGAACATTAGGGACATGGAAGTAGGTCTCTACTGTTTAATTAGGCCTCTTTATTATCTTACCACCATATGATGCAGTAGACATGGTATAAAACAAAGCAATGATAACTCCCCCAGTCTATCTTTTAACTGACTAATCTTTACATGTATAAGAAAATATTAACTGAAACACTGCTGATTTTACCATCCCTTGCTACATTTTTGCCTTCTCAAAAGGAACCTTCTTTTAAACAGAGTCATTCCTTATCTACCTCATTATTTCAAACTCCTTGTGAAGAACATCTCGACCAGATAAAGAAAATGTGAGGCAATTAAATGTAAGTATGCTTACTGATGGGACACCAAACCCACCAGTGCAATTAAAATCAGACATTTCACTTATTTTTAACTTCCCAAGGTACCCAGAAGAATGTGCTTAAAACTTTCTGCCACCAGTGGTGAGTAGGCTGAAACTTTGTCCTTTATATAAGCTCTAAAGCTCCTCCAAACATTTCCATTTCTCCTCCAGACTTCTGACTTTTTCCCATCCACAGAGTTAATACCCAAATCAGATGTTTAACTAGTATATCCTTTATTTTTCTTCTTTTTTTTTCTTCCCCCCACACTTAAGAGCATTCTCTGAAGTGACTACTTCTCTTATCTCACAAGACTCCTTCTCAAGACACAAGGTAGCTGTTTCTTAAGAGTGTAACAAAGCCAGGGAAAATAGGTGCATAGCATCTGCTTAGCTGCGGCAAAGACACCCCTAACTACCCAAACTGATACCAAAGGGAGACCAGACACAAGCAACCAAAAGTGAGCTTTGAGGTTAATATTTCTTTAAGGTCAACAGAAAGGTGGGAATTGTTTGTCTCTAGGCATCTGAAAGAGAAGTTAATCAAATGTCTTAGTTATCCATCAATGAGACAAACCAACCAATTTTCAGTGTCCTAATCTTCGGGGAGAAAAAAACAAAATTACAGACATGAGCATAACTGTCTGAGCAGGATTGCTTTCCTCATCAAGAATAATCCTGGATTCAGCATCTGGGTTCTAACAGTGGCTTGTAATCATGGACACATTTAAGATTAATCATTATAGATAGTGTTATATTTATCTGAGGATCCGGGGAACCAAAGGCCTGTCAGCCTGACCTCAGTACTGGGGAAGGGGACGGAGCAGCTCACCTCAAGTGTGATCAAATAGCCTGTGTGGGACAACCGGGGAATGAGGTCAGTCAGCATGGGTTCTTCTTGACTAACCTGATCTCTTTCTATGACCAGATGACCCATCTAGTGGGTGAGGAAAAGGCTTTTGATGTACTCTACTTAGACTTCAGTAAATCCCTTGACTCTCTTTCAGTTTTCTCTTGAAGAAGCTAGCTGCTCATTATTTAGACAGTTGTACCATTTGCGCATGCGCAGTGGGTCGTGGGATGAAGATTTCTTGTCTTCCTAGGCACTACTTACAGGCACTACTGCTATTACTACTGAATGAAGGCACTCATGAGATCTATCCTGGTCTCCACTATCTTGTCTTCTGAGGGTTCATTCAAAAGCAGTTCTTGAAATATTTGTGATTGGGTGCTTTTCTTTTTTCCAAAAAAATTAAGGGCAGCCTTTCCCAAAGCCACAGTGTCTAGCTTTGATGTGAATGTCAGACTGCCTCAGGTCACTGTAAAAAAAGGTTACAGCAAATCATGCTCTGATGCTGGTTTTCAACCTACTAAATATCACAGATGTAATCTCAAAAATTTCACCTGAAAATGTCTGCTAGATTAAAATTGCAGTTAACTTGAACATAAAAGACTACTGAAATAAAAATTAAAACGAAGATATAAGAAAATATGCCCTCTTCTCTGCTGCATTCTACTACAAATACTTTGGCTTTGCTGAACTTACAGTCAATACAAATGCAGACTTCTGGCTTCTGCTTAGTGTTCATCAGATTTGCTGACACAAATTCTGTTGTTTATTTACTAGCACTAAAGGATAGAAAACAACCAGCTAGAACAAGCAACTCCTTTATAAAATGGTTATTTTCCTCTTTGCCCAAACCATTCTTTTCCATGTGGTTATCAGTCTAGTAGTAAATTCAGCAGAGTGTGGAGAACAAAGATAGGGATAGGTAAATATTAATACACACGTAAACAATTTACAAAACACTGCTGTTCGTTAAAGATGCTATCCTATCCAAATAGTTGTCCATCAAATGTGGAGACTGCTCTTCATAACCCCTCTGTGCTTATATAAATGGGTATAGAACTCTGGTCTATTAGATTATTATAACGGGGAATATACTCCTTAGTAGCAGTTTTAAGCTATTTTTTGTTGTTAATATTTCTAGTCCAATCTAAAGCAGATGCATGACGAGCCTTCTTTTAGCACAGTTCTATAAAAAATTAATTCACATCACTTTTGACAGTCTAGATAATGACTGTTCTAGATAACTCCCAGATAATTCCCATTTATAATTTAATTATAAATGCAAAATAAGTCTGTACATGATCAAAGGAAAGAATAATCAAATAGTCATACAGTTATTCATCCATCCCCATTTTCATCTCTTAAGAACTATCAACCAGATAAAGAATAGCAGTAGGTTGCTTTTTTTCCTATTTGGAAAATGGAAATTATAAAAATGTTCCAAAATGTTAATATTATGAAGATCAAAAACAGGTCATTGCTGTCACTATAGGAACTTGGTAGTTTTATGAACCACTACATTATCACTTCTTTTTTTCTACTTATATGCAACATCATTGAGACTCCATGGGAACCCTCTAGGCTAGCAGTCACTGTGCATAGCATACCTTCACACCTTCATACCTTCAGTGTGGGGGGGAATCACACATGAACAAAAGAGAGAAGGAGAAGACAAAAACATGAATAAAATAATGAAAACTCATGAACCACGGACTGAAAAAGGAATAATATTAATCATATATTTTCTTAATTTTTTGCTGCATGTTTTATTATGTTCAAGAACTTCAAATAAGGCGTGTGACCAACTAAACTGGACAGAAAAAAGAATGCTTTTGCTAGGTGTGAGGGTAAATGGGTCAGCTTAATCCACAAAAGAAAACTCTAATCCAGTCCAAAACTACTCTTTTTCTCATGGGTCCAAACGATGCCAGGAATTGTGCTAACGACTAAGCCATCAGCATCATTGCCTTCCAGTACTGCCACAGCTTTACAGACACAGCCTAAGAAATCAGTTCTGCTCCTGGCTTTGCTTCATACTCCTGTGCACTCATGTGGCAGACTGATTCAGATCACACTCTGCTCTGTTAAAATGTGTAGCAGTTTTGACTTCAGTAGAGTTGAACAATTCACAACTCAGTTTCACAGCTGTAAAATGGAAAGTATAATTATACTGTTTGAAAAATAATTTTAAAAGCCTTGAAAACAGAAGATGGCCTTTTTCAAGGAAAAAAAAAAAAAGGCAAGTTCCTTTCTTCAGCTCTCCAAATGCTGTTTTTAGATTAGTCATAAACATTTAAGAATGAAGAGTTCTCTTCTGCTATATTTATAAGAAGCTCAATTTATGGGATAAACCAAAGAATAAATCTGTAATACGTTTGTTTCTTTTTGTTTCTTGTCCTTGTTCTTTTTGTTCCTCCCAATGAGGAGGAATTATTTTTTATCTGAGATTCATCTATGAAATTTCAAAAGCCGAAGGGCAATTTGTAGGTGTTGCTTCAGAGAGAGTGGAGAAAAAGCCAGTTTTGCTGCAAAATAAAGACCTGGGGTAACTTTTATCTTTCTCTTAGTTCCCATTTTCATTTAAAAGTATTGACCATCTGTCCAAATAGGGGTTTTTTTAGGCTTCAATTATGAATGAAAAATGAAAAATGCAAAATTAAACTCATCCTTATGTCAACAATATAAGCAATTTTCAAAGAACTGGAAATATTGTGGAAACATTAACCATCCTTGTTAAAGAGGCTTGTTACATTAGTCTTTTACAAAGCAGCGAGGTATCTGGCTCACCAACTCTTAGATATTCCCTTCTTCCCCTGGATTATTTACATACTTGTCAATCAATATACATGTCAGATGGAGCTTTGAGTAACCCAGACATTTCCATCATCCCACCCAACCTGGCCTTGACCATCTCCAGCTGTGAATGCTCCATCCCTGGAGCTGCACAAGGCCAGGCTGGATGGCGCCCTGGGAAGCCTGAGCCAGTGCCTAATTTAGAGGTTGACTAGCCTGCTCTTGGCAGGGGGTTGGAAATAGATGATCTTTAAGCTCCCTTCCAATACAAGCCATTCCATGATTCTGTGATCATAGTATGCAACTCCAGAATGTCCAAATGTTTTATATTAAAATAAAAGGTAATAAAAATGAGAAAAACAGATTTTCAAATGGAAAAGTATGTATGTATATTACTCCCTCACCACTGACTGTGCCCTCCCTTCTTGCACTTTGTTGCAGCTGCCTGAATAAATTCTGCACAATTCCCTTTGGTACCAGGAAAATTCCTCTAATTACTTTTGTGTCTTGTCTGTTTATTCTCTGTTTTTGACTGATCTTGCAACATCTTTCTGAGTTCCATCCCATGAGCTTCTTCACCGGCTCCTTTTGTGGCCTCTGAAACCTATTCAAGCTTGCTAGCTCCCTAGAGGATGGAACAACCTCCCATCCTTATAAAGGTTGACCCTTGACCTGGCACTTAGAGGAATTTAAATATTGAGAGCAAAGAGCAGTCTGTTACAAATGTGCAGCTATATTTAACCTTTCCTGAATAGAAAGCAGTTCTTCCTGAACTATTCCATCTTCATTTATATAGGCACTATGAATAAGTTTATGCATTTGACTCAAATAAGTTAATGGGATGGTTTATGCTGGGATTTCAGCAGGGCTATTAGCGACAGACAGTGCCAGGTCTTCATTAAATAGCAGAAGGGAAAAAATTCCTCCAGAGGACAGTTTGGAGAAGGAACATGACTTACATGCTTGAATTACCTCTTGGTGGATCTTTTTTCTCTACATACGAGGCTAGGGAGATAAGCTTTCTATCTTAAGCGTTACATTTAGATGCATGAAGTTCAGTAATGTGATTCATAAATTGCTAAAAGTGCAAAACAAATATCATGAGAAATGCAACTTCCTTTAAACATACACAATTTTCTAGGTTTTCAAAAGATAGGAGATGTAAGTGGATTTTGTAACTAGATACAAGAGGTAGATTGATCATATCATATATTCTTCAACAAAAATAGACTTTCTTTTAAGTGGGAAATTTGATTCCATTTTTCAGTCGAGATTTGAATGCCCTACCAGCAATAGAAAAAATAACTCAGTTGATAGCTTTGTCTCTGCTGTAAATGAGTCAGGCAATTTTCAGAGCCACATGTACAATCGCAACAAATGGCAAAAGAAACCACATTCTCCCATGGCCCTTGAAGAAAGCCTTTAGAGACCAAAGGGAGAGAAAGCTGACAAATTTTCACAATACAGTGCTTGATGAGCTTCAAGATGAGCACTAAAATCTTCTCAGGAAAAGGAGGAAACTGGATGATCCTATGCCCAAATGAGAACTCTCACCACTCAGTCCATTCTCAGATCTCTAAAAACCTTCAGATGTCTGTAGAAGCCCATTACTAGTTTATTTAATCAACTGCATGTCCAGTGCAGCTGTGCCCAACTAGCAGCACTCTTGGGCAAAGGAGCGGGTTCAGCTCTTAAAGCAGATCCCCACTTGACAGGAATGGAAGCCAGAGAGAAAAGGCTCCGGAAGCTCCTTGGCAAGTACAAACCCTGAAAGAATCTCTCTGCATGCTGAATTCTTCACAGGTTAGCCAATAAAGGTGATGAGCACTAAGCTACAGAATCATAGAAGCGTTTGAGTTGGAAGGGATCCTCACAGGGCATCTATTCCAACTCCTGCAATGAACAGGTTCTCCCATCAGCCTGACCTCAGATGTCTCCAAGGATGGGGGATCCACCACCTCTCTGTGCAGCCTATGTCAGTGTCCATCAGTGCAAAAAACTTCTTCCTTATATCCAACTTATAATTATATATATTGTATAGGGATATATGTATAATCATATATAAAGATAATCATACATATTCATAATAATGTATATAATCAAAATCTATAATCATATATATTATCAGCAAAAGCAATGATTTTCAGCCACCTGAAACAGAAAGAGCTTAGTAACAGAAATGTTTGGAACCGGATGGCTTGTTTTCAGCTTCATTTATTCCCTCCTTAATGATAAAATTTTATAAAGACCTTAAGACAATAATGGTGTGTTTGCAGCAAATAGCTGCATAATTGCTGCATAACATATTTCTTCTTCCTCATTTTCTTAACTTATGTAGAGCAACTGAGTCACAGATAAGAATACATGCTAAAATTCTCAAAAAAAAAAAAGAAAAAAAAGATAATTTTAGATACGACAGAAAACAAATGGATGACTCCGAGTGTTTGAGTGTTGCATAACCTAGCTTTTTATCCTCCTGTGTCCCAGATACAGGTGCAATCCCACACAACAATTCTCCAACAACAGACCACATCTGAAAGGCTGGCATCTTCCTTGCCAGACATTTGATCCTCCTCCAAAAACACACAAAAGCACCAAGGATGTCTATTCACACAGCTCTCAAAGGAACAAACAACTAGCAGAGAGAGCAAACAGCAAATTAAATGAATACTTCATTACACATTTTAATTCTTTTATTCCCTAAAGGAGTTAGTAGACCAAAGGCACTTTCACTCTCCCTAATTCAGTCCTCAAGTTTTATAACCACTTTGAGATGAGAAAGGCAATTTGCATGGAGTTTCTTGTTAACTAATTTGCTTCTTCCAGTGGCTCAGTACACTTGGTCAGTGCACTTCTGGTGAAGTGAAGCCAGCAAAGCTATGTGGATTTATATGGCAAAAGGATCTGGCTCTATTAGTTTCATGTCTCCAAGGATTTTCTCAGACTCCAGAAACTGCAACAGAGCATTTGAAATGGCCGTGTTAGGTAACTGAAGACTAATATCAAGCTCTAAAATGGGAAGGTAAAAGGCCTGTCTTCTTTCTTCTTCTTTGTGAGGAAATTTCACTAAGACTTGAATTTCTGCCCCATGCAGAGGGATTTTGTTCTCTGCAGACTGTCCTCCTTCCAGCCTGTGGCTGCATTGTCCTACAAAACCACTTTAAGCACTTCAGCACCTCAGCAAGAGCTAACAAGGAAACCTGCCAGCAGACTAACTCTGATGTTCTGCTACCTTGGTGAGTGAAGATATGCAAGAAGAAAAACAACCTATTTGCTGGCCACTGGCCACCCAGGGAAAGGGACTGTGCAGAGATTTCTCTATCTGTCCCAGTACATCCTGGAGGGATACACTGGTGAGACGAAAATTACAGCTGTGTTGTACCCCAGAGAAAAACAGAAGCTCACCACTCTTCTCCCAGCATCTCTTCTTCAGCTCAAGAGATATTCAGCTGGCAGAAAATAGTATTTGTGATTTTCTGCATTAAATAAAGTAAAAGGCTCAATTCCACCTGGTTCCTACCAGTGGATCAGTCTCCCATGAGATAGAATCCAATGCTTTCAGTCGTGTGGACCTCAAAAGGCCAGATCAGAAGGTGAAGCTGGGGTTCTAATTGAGTAGGAATGATCCTCATGAGCAGAAGGAGAACAGGGAACACAGGCTTGTGGGAATGGACTCATATGTTATCCCTGACAGGAATTTCTGGGAACAAATACATATATTGATAAATAATGTTAGAAGAGTTTAGTTGAAAGAAACTTCTGAAGATCTTGTAGTTCAAATTCAGGGCAAAATTTAAAGCATATTAATAAGGTATTATCCAAATGCCCCTTGAACACCGGCAGGCATGGGGTAACACTTGCTTCTCTATGAAGCCTAATCCATTGTTTGCACAACCTTAGAATAAATAATTATTTCCTAGTGTTCAGTGTGAGGAGGTTGTTGAGAAAGAGAAATGAAGGGGATAAGAACAGCAGGAAGGAATGTGGTGAATATGTCAAGTGTGCTCCATAAACATGCAGGATGTGGGTGGTTCACTGACAATATAGAGAAAAATGCACAAGATGTTTGATGGGAAGGTAGAGACTCAACGTCTTTGAGCATATCTGCAATCCAACCCAACCTAAGCAGTTGAGATGGCCCTTTGGGACTGAGGGTTCGCTACAGCTCCCTGAAAGGAGGTTGTGGCAAGATAGGAGTTGGCCTCTTATCCCAGGTGACAGTGCCAGGATAGAAGTAAGGGCCTCAGGTTGTGCCAGGGGAGGAGGCTCATATTGGATATTAGGAAAAAATTCTCAGAAAGAGTGGTGAGGTATTGGCACAAGCTGCCCAGGGTGGTGGTGGAGTCACTGTCC